GGTTGAGCTATAGGCGCCGAGCCAACACTATTAACTTTTAAAAAAAAGTAACCCAGCTTTGTATTTCAATTGTTTTTTTTTTGCCTAATTGCCAGAATATTTATATAAAGGCTGTACGGCTTATCTTAAGTTTTTAGCTACCCATACAGTAAAAGTCTACCCTTCTTTGAGTCTTCTTTTCTGAGAAAAACTTAACAAAAATAAATAGATCTGTTTCCCATTCCTTCCATGGAACATCTCCAACTTATGGGTATGTCACATTCTTCCAATGAAAATTCTTAGCATGATTAGTCAAATCCAGGCTTATACCTCAGTCTGTAATAACAAAAAATCAAATCAGCATAGTACTGCCAGTATTATGATAATATTTTCCAGATGAGATAATTCTGGTCCAGAGAGGGGAGGTGAACTGCCCAAGGCTACATGCTTTTCATAGCTGAAGCTAGAACCTTTGGTGCCTACAACTGAAACCAAGATGCTCTCTCTACACAAACCCTCTAACTTGGTTTTCCCTTCGGCATGGCATTATTCAATGATTCTCTTTTAGAAAGGATACATGCTAGCCCAATTGAAAGTCCACAGACATTACTGAGGAAAGAGGTCTGGGGAATGAGCCAAGAGGCACCCAGCAAGAGCCATGGCACCAGGACTGAGGGCACAACCACACCAAACACCAGGGCCCGCCTCATCCGGGAGCGGACAGTGGTGACTCCCAGCATGGCAAAAGCCACTGGGGTGAAACCTCTGGCATCTTCCACCTCCCCCAGCTTTGATAGTGATGACACAGCCTCAAACGACAGGAAGATGATAGCAGAGAAGACGGTGAAGATCAAGGTGAAGAAGCAGTGGCGGACGGTGCCCACGGTTCTCTCAAAATTGCCAGCAAAGCGCCAGATGATGATGGCACCACAGAGCAGGGAGACTGGATTCTCATAGACAAAGATGTAGGTCACCAGCCTGTAAACTGAAGAGGAAGCTGGGTTAGAGGCCTGATGCTGGGTTGCTCCAACGGGGGAAAGGTTATAAGGCATCTAGAAGAGGGGAGAGCAGCCCCATGTTAGAGAAGTGAAAGCCAGTGAAAATCAGCTGAAGCCAAGACAAGCAGTGGGAGGTAACAATGAAGAACCCAAAGAGTCAATATAGAGCCACAAAGGTCTAATTCTTGTTCTTTTCCAGACCTGGAACAAGTCTCATCAGTATCTGACTTCCATATGGGAAAAATTTAATAGTTTTTGGCATGGGGTGGCCTCTGAATTTGTAAATACTTTATAATTCTTTTTTAGGTTTTAAAACTGACCTACCTCACTGGGCAGTTTGAGTGTTAATTAATTGTGACAGCTTCAGGGTAGATTGAATGGGTGTTACTTAACTCTGTGTGCCAGTCTCCTCAGCTGTAATCCTGACCTCTCCTTCCATAGTGGCTGTTCAGAGGAAGAAAAAATGGACCATGAATTACTTTGCAGCTATAAGGATTATAGAACTATCATTACTAATACAGATACAGAAATCAGAAGTCTTCCTTGAAAGTGCTTATCCAATCTTACAGTAGAATGATAATTTGTGTAATAAGACAGCAAAGAACCCTACTTATATCTTTCTAAAAACAATTGGCTAGGCTGGGCGCGGTGGCTCACGCTTGTTATCCCAGCACTCTGAGAGGTCGAGGCAGGTGGATTGCTTGACCTCACAAGTTTGAGATCAGCCTGAGCCAGAGCAAGACCCCATCTCTAAAAATAGCCAGGCATTGTGGCAGGCGCCTGTAGTCTTAGCTACTTGGGAGGCTGAGGCAAGAAAATCACTTAAGTCCAAGAGCTTGAGGTTGCTGTGAGATATGATGCCATGGCACTCTCCTGAGGGTGACAAAGTGAGATTCTGTCTCAAAAAATAAAAACAGGCTTGGTG